CAAAAAACGTTTGGTGAAAATATGAATTTTAGCCTGGCAGCGATGCAGTGATCGTTGTTCTAAAAGACGACGGCCGAATAGAGGTTACGGATCAGTTCCTTGCTGGAAGGACGTCGCCGGTTGTCGACAGGATCCAGAACATATTCAACATCTATTCGCAGTACAGTAACGGCAGAGTCACAGCCAGCTTTTTTCGCAGCCTCAAAACTGACGATGTATCCCAAGACCTCGATCTTACAAACTGCGTCTATCTACTGTATCCTGAGAAAGGAGGCCCTCTCGATTTGATGGGTGATCCGAAGATGCATTACTCGCTCCCGCTTCACTCAGAGAAACCTGTGTGCTTCAATGAGTGTCGCACGGACCTACCGATCAAGAAGCCAAGTCACAAAGTGACAGGTAAACAGATTACGTAGTGTTTTTTGGCTAATGCATTTTAGTTGAGCGCCTACTCTCAGTGCTGTGTTGTCTAAAGCATCCAATTTAAAGCTGAGCAATTTTTAGCTGAAAGGATTCAAAAGCCGTTTTCGTCTTACCTGATGACATTTCGTATACTGAATCGAAATTTGACCGAGCGAGCTCTTGGTCAAAGTCTACATGAGGAAATAGAAAACGCGGTGAGTTTGCAATCTGGTACAATTTTAATGTCATTAGTTAAATATATTTAGGTCGACTCTGTGATGAAACAGAAACTTTCTGGTTATTCTGAGGCAAAGATCTCAAAACTGTGGTAACGTTGATTTTATTATTTATGCATTTACATTCAGCTTTAATGCTTCATTAAGTTTTTAAAATCTTAATGTTTCAAAAGACTTATTCTTAACTAGCTATTAAGAACGTGCAACTTTGTTTGCATTAAATCATGAGTTATTACTCAACTTTGAAGGGTTTTGCACTGATTTATTTCTAAATAATAATATTCTCATTCACACATTCCCCATTTTTACGTTAAATAACGAAGAACCTTAAACCATCTTTGTATTTTGCTGAATGATGTCTGGTTGTGTAGAATCATTGGTACCCGATTGCTACAGCATCAAGAGAAACTAATAAGGCCACTTTACTTGCTGATTAGATTCGCCGGTGTTGACGTGAATGATGTTAACTTAATTAATACCCCATTTCTCCGATTGTTCTTTCCATTGTGCAGTCTAAATTGTTCAACTTGGAAAGATGAATTCTTTCTCACAACAAAGGCGAAACATTCCTATTTTTATATAATCTTAAACATCGATCGCTGAGTTCCGATTTAGTCTAGAATTTTTCCACAAATAATTTAATCACTTCTGGGAATTCCTATCGTACAGTCGATTATACATAATACAATATAAAACAGAATGTTACAGCTTAAATCTTTGTCTTCGTAATCATCACCATCAGCTTTTGCCGATCTATTGCCGGATAAAGGCATCTCTAACACTTTGTTATGAACTTCTGTTCTCTGCAACTCATTAATTTTTAGCGATTTCGATCCTGTTCAGCTCACCGTGCCATTCAGTTGAAGGTCTTCCTCTGTCTTGAACTCAATCTTCTCTCTCTCTAGTCCAACTACGGTCGGTGCTTCTTACAGCGTATCTCATCCATCGCCAAATCAGCCTCCTCACATGGACATTAAATCCATTGGATTCAACAGGTTGCAGGGTCACGCATTTGTTAATTTCGAGGGGGCAGGTGGGGTTAACGTAGTTAGTTACTACATTGTCCTGAATGTTACAAAGC